GAACATGCTCACCAAACATGGCCACTCTCTTCCTCCACCACCACCACCATGCTCGTCACCGCCGCCAACGCCACGCCATCACCATCACCCATAGCCACCACCGCCAACGTTGCTCCTCGATCACCCATGGCCACCACCACCACCAACATCGACCACGACACCCTTCAACAACAACACGGCGACGCCATGTCACGAAACAACAAGCGCCGTAACCCATGAAAACCCCCAACACCCATGAAAACAACGCGCCCGGACACAAAACGACACCCGACGGGCACAAAACGATGCCCACCGCCCACGTACACCGCCAGCGCCCACGAAAACCATACCCCGCCCACGAAAACATCCCACCACCCACCAAAAAACATGAGCGCCCACTGAAAAACACGCGCCGCCCACCGAAAAACACGCACCGCCCATACAACACACGACGGCACCACGCCGCCTACCAAAACCACCACGTCCACACCAACGCCACCCACGACGACGCCCCCAACGGCAACCAGCACCCACGATGACGGCGACGACAACGCCCACGAATAACGCAAAAATGCGGACACACGATGAAAACGCGAACACGCGACGAGGAGACGACAACGAAATGCAACATAACGATGGGACGCCAATGCGGGACGACGATGGCCGAGGTCCCAGCCACACTCCCTCTACCCTCCACCATTCCCTTCCTCCTTCCCCCTTTCCTTGTCCCTCCCCCTTGCTCCCTTCCCCCTTGCTCCACCAACTGTGTAGTGTGTGTAGTAATACATTTCAAATACATTACAACTCAATCTATGACTTCTACATGTGAATTTTATAAGGAAATATGAGTGCCAAGTCATCAGGATAAGGTTGGAGTTGAAAAAAACTTACTCTGCTTGATTCCAGTCCTATTCCACTGGGATTCCTCTGGATTCCTCTGGAATTCCACTGGAATGACTCTATTCCTGCAGGAATAGGTGGGGCACTGTAAAGTACTGTGTACTCTATGGGGATTAATACAGATTCCTCTGGAATTCCACTGGAATGACCCCATTCCTGCAGGAATAGGTGGGGCACTGTAAAGTACTGTGTACTCTATGGGGATTAATACATCCGGATGGAAATAACCTGCAGAATTTCGGACTTCAGAGCATTCCGTGGGGGATGTCTGGTCCATGTTAAAATTACATCTGAAATTGCGGACATTCAGATCCGGATGTTTTTTAGGCCGCATTTTCGGAGCAGTGACATTCATCAAGTTAATCACAAACCCGGACATTTTTTCGGCCGCATTTTCGGGGCCATGACCTTTGGCATGTTGATATTTTTTCGGCCGCATTTTCGGGTGCTCAAAGTTCTAAATTTCGGACATTGCAGTATTCCACGGGGGTTGTCTGTTCCAGTTAAAAATTACATCTGAAATTTCAGACATTGATGCACTCCACAAGAAAGATTACATCCGGATGGAAATGCCTGCAGAATTTCGGACTTCAGAGGATTCCGCGGGGGTTGTCTGGTCCCTGTCAAAATTACATCTGAAATTTCGGACATTGGTGCCGCATTTTCGGAGGTCTTTACCTTCCCCAGAGGACTTTACTCTCCCCCACAGATTCCATGTGGACTCCAGATGGACTCCATGGATCCACCTGGAGTCCAGGTGGATTTTAGACAATTTTTTTTTGGTGGTAACCCAGCCAATTTTTTGTCTAGAATCCATCTGGATTCCAGCTGGAGTCCAGTTGCTCCATGTGGACAACATGGACTCCAACATGGACTCCACCTCAGAACACAGGGTTATATGAATTCACCCAGTGAGACTCCATCTGGAATCCATGTGGATTAATTGCCTTACTTTATTTATTTATTATATATAAAAAATGAAAGTGCATGAGCTAGAATTGAACCCAGGAGCTCATGGACAGAGTTAAAGATAATAGCTAGACAATTAGCCATTGACCCACAAGGCCTTTAAAAGTTAAAGCCAACTAGTGATCTATATGGCCACGTGGCTCGGCACTTTCCGCACGTTCAACACATGCGCGTGGTGTTTGCTTATTATTTGTGCATCTTGTTCCTCAACCACCACCATCCAACCACCATCCCTCACAACGAGCCCCCCTCGCTCAGCATGTTGCCCAGGCTGACACCGTCCACTGCCGTCGATGACTGCCCACGACTAACACCGCCCACACCAATGACCCCCGACGATGACAATCTAAGTCCAGCAGACTGAGAACTTAGCAATTATGACTGGTTTCTGCCTCTGTCCATTGGAAATCCAACAGAAGTCCAGTGGACATCCAACGGACATAGAATTCTGGCCAGTCCAACCATTTCTTGCTTCTAAGTAGTTTGAGTGGACTTTCACTGGACTTTGCCTGGACTAGCAGCGGAATCCAGTCACGTCCAACGGACTCTGACAGACTGTCCGCTGGGTCCATCGGAAATGGCAGGGTCCAATGAAAGTCTGTTGGAGTCCGTTGGACAAGCAGTGGGAGTGTAAAGTACTGAATAAACTGCTAACAGCGCCCACAGCGAGGTCTTTACCATCCCCCATGAGTTCCGGCGGAATCCGGCGGATTCCAAGCGGAATGTTGGAATTCCATGGAATTCCGATGGAAACTAGTTGGCTGGAGCCTCAGCCAGTCTTGTTTCCAATTCCATGGAAATTCCAATGGAATCCGACGGAATCTGGTGGAAATGGTCGGAATCTGGGAGCCTCCCGGAACAGTTTCCATTGGAATCCATTGGAATTCCAACCAGATTCCATGGAATTCCAATGGAAAGTATATTCCAGTCAAATTCCAACAGATTCCGAGAGATTCCAATGGATTCCAATATTTGTTGTTGTTATTATAATAATATAAAAAAGAAGTGGATGCATAAGGATTGAACTCTAGCCTCGGGGAAGGTCACGTGATATCCAAGCAGCAATATTTCCACTACACCATACGGCCGTTAAAATTCTACAAACATTTATTCCATACAACCCACCCTCACGGCCACCTTCCTAAACGAGTCGCGGCATTCGCCGGCGTCACCATCACCATCAGTGTTTTGCTGTCAACCACAACCACAACCACCACCATCACCACGACCAGCGCACCACCACCACCAGCACACACAACGGCGAACGGCGACGACCGCCCACAACGA